TGGTGCCCCTGTGTCCACTCATTTACTTTTATTTTCTCTTTATAATCAGTTGTGATCCCATCATTGCAGCCTGAGGTATAACTTCTCTCATCTTAAAGCAAAGACCTGTATTCGGTCAGAGAGATCATGCCTTCTCCAATGACTGTATGGACTAGATATGCTCTGTATGGATCCTTCTATAAAAGGTTCCTCTTGGTTAGTCTCCATACAGATGCTGTATGGTAGACACCTGGGATGGGATTCTGCTGCAGATTCTGACAGAGATGGAAGTGTCTGAGCTCTTTGAAGAGAAAAAAGAGCTGGACTCTGTTACCTATTGTGTCTTTTACACTCCCATACGCCCTGTGTAGTATCAACAGAAACAGTAGGTACCCTAAGAAATTCAAGTGACGCTATACATCTGTGTTTTGGTGACAGGATCCTAACTCTAATCAGTATAGTTAGGGGAGTCTAGAGAGCAATTCAGCTGTCAAAACGTAGGTACCTATTTTAGAGTTAACTGACTTGATTTCTACACTGCCGTGACTGTAGTGATGGCTGGGAATGAGGGGGCTTCAGTTGCCAAAAACAGGTGTCTTGTGTAATTTCAAGTGCTATGGACCCACCCGGCCTCCAGCTGTCACCCAAGAAAGGATTGTCTTCTGTAGGCCCTGTGTCACATCTGCCAGGCTGTGCAGCTGTCTCACATACCTCAGGATATCCACGTGATACCAGATGCCTATCTGTGGGCAAATAAACTAAACTCCCTATCTCCACTGACTGTAATGGTAGCTTAGACACTTGGATCACAGGGTCTCTACTATAGATCCTAATTGTAGGTGTCTGAATCTGGAGCTTTCTCCCAGCTCTAAAGCTGGGTGAGGTGTTTCTCACCACTGGAGTGGATTAATGATGTGCATCTTTTCTAGGCTGTTTCCATGAAGCACAATCCATATGAGTGGGATGAGAGGTCTTTGTGTAGAGTTAAGTTATCTTTCCAAAAAATTGCGGTCATGACCTGATTTGTGATCCTGCTACAGACTTAGAACCAGGATAAGACATAAAGACATAGGGATGAATGTGCTGGGTCAGACCAAAGGTCCATCTAGCCCCACTTGCTATTTCAACAGTGCCCGTAACTGGATGTCTAGAGAATAGAAAGAACAGTATATGACGGTTCTCTCTCATGCTCTAACAGTCTTTTAGTCTAACAGTCTGAACAATTTCAGCTGAAGGACTTCTTGAGATAGATATTGTTTCTACCCGTTTAATATCCCTCAGTGTCCAGTTTTCCCTAAAAACTATGTAAATTTTTAGTGTCCACAAAAACAACTTTGAGCACTGAAATATGCAGTTATAGCACAAAGTGTTGAGATGGTGCCTGAAACAATTCCTTTTTTTTCCTCTCTCCATCTGTCTCTATCCTTCCAGGAATTTACAGAGATGACAGCAAGTGTATCTTCAAGCCCTCAGTACAAGGCTACTTCTGCAAGCAGACAGATCATGCACTTGTCATTCTTGAAAACTTGGACTCCAGTACCATCAGTCAGAGGCTGTCTCCAGTGGTAGCAATGACTGGCAGCTTTATGGATACCTTCAGTGATGTGGCTTCAAATGCATCGTGTTATCTGGCAGAGCATCCTCCTGCTTTCTCTTCTGTCTTGCCATCCAACAAACTCACTACAGTTTGCTTCCCTGACCTACCACCTCTGACTTTCAGACTTTACCTGCTCAGTGGCCAAAACTCAACCAGGCTGCCCCTTGCTATATTCTACAAGGAACCCCTCAGCCTTCGTGTTTTCATTCAAGGGAAGTATGTCTCTCCAACCCTATCTTCTTTCTCACTAAGTGAAGGGGCAGGAGCCAATTACTTTAACTTTAAGGACAACCTTCTGCATGTTCTCCTTCATGAGAAGCAACCTGTAGAAATAGTCACTGGACTTTCCCTTCACATTGCTTTTTCTGTGCCTGAGACCATTGGGGAAGAGGATGAGGCAAGTGTAATACATCGATTAGCTGATTTCTTGCAGGTTGGTCATGAACAAGTCAGAATAGTCTATCACGTGCTGGGAGGTGAAAGCATGTTAAAAGTTATCTCGTCCAATGCTAGCAAAAGGAGATATCACTGCCCTAACATGGCATTTTGCACAGCCTCTCGTACCAGGGCTGGCTTACGGAAAGTGGGGAGAAGATCAGTAAGCACCCGAACCCTGCAGCCCTCTGATAAAGCTGTTCCATCAAGAGTGCTGATCATTGAACTTGGTGATCCACCAGGCCGTGCAAGAAGTGAATTTCATCGCTCCTTGACAAGTGGCAGCTTAAAAAGCTTGGCCAGAACTATTATCAATGCTCATCAAACTGGAGATCTTCAGAGAGGCCTGCACTTACCAGTTGATACTTTAATGGTGACTCAGCCTGCCTTCCTGTCTCCAGGAGGAGATAATAACAGGTAAGTGTGTTGCTGCAGTATCATTAAAGTTGTCGACATTGATTTAAGTGGAGTGAGGCAATTTAACCATTCGATCTGCTTATTAGGATAGGGAATAACTTCTCCATTGACTGGAATATGTCTAACCACAGTGGAACACATTATAAAGATCTCCTGGCATAGCTATGCCCAAGAATTTAGCTGGACTTCTGAATGTAATCTCTGATATTCTGTTGGCGCTCATGGATCTCTGCACCAACACTGCAGAGCTGTCCATGATGCTTTAAGCCAGGAAGAGAGATTTGAGAAAACTTTACAGCCTTGAAACTGTAAACTATTGGGCAAGATCAATATTTCTAAAGGAGTTCAGGCTATGGTATCTCTTTCTTGACTTTTAAACACTGAAGTAAACCTATGAATGTCTATAAATTGATGCAGTGCCAGAAACATGGTGTGAAAGTCAGGTAGTTGCTTTCAATTACTTACAGGTCTAAACCTTGATTCATACACTTTCACAATTTAAGGCCAGAAAGGATGATCTAATCTTTCAGTTTAATCTTCTATATGGCACACGCCACTGCTGTTTATTCTGACACCTCGGTGTTGACTTTTGTGTTTGGCTAAAATACGTATTCTAGGAAACCATCCAGTCTTAAAGATAAGGAGCTGGAAGCATCATGTAGTTCTTTTGAATATGTGTTTAGATGCTGAATGCCACTCCTGTTGCTGCATCACAAATACTTGCCTACTTTCTCTTGTGAATCCCTCCATCTCCAGCTTCCTGTGACAGTTTCTTGCTCTTCCTTTTCTGTTTCATCAGTGAGCTGCTGGGCATTGGCTGTTCCCTTATCCTGCAGATGCTGCAGGTAGTAATCAAATCACTTACCTGTCTGCTTTTAATAAATTGAGGAGTTTGAGCTCTGGTCAGTGTAAGGTGTTTAAATCCTTTTTTGATTTCTTTCCTTCTCTCCCCCCACCCCTGTTTTTGAATCCTTTTTGAAGTGAAGATGTCTGAATTGCTAGCAGTTTTCCTGCATGTCAGTGCCGTACGCAGAAGTGATACTAAATCCCATTTTCTACTCACAGAATTCAATGATCCCATTAGCCTATTTTTCCACAGAAATATGAGAGCTCTTGATCATTCATTTTCTCACTATATTCTCTAGTTCTATTTTTTTCAGGAACCAATCCTCCATTCCGTACCTGTGTCTGCCCGTGTTTTAAAACTTAAGTCTTGCTGCATATATAGCTTTGCATTTGACTGTATGAAAACGCAATTTATTTGTCTAGATCCAGCACACCACATGGCCTAGGTGCCCCTGTTTGACTGTTCTCAGCTCCCCCAAACTTACCAGCCCACGAAACCTTCTGCATATTTCATCAGAAGTGATTTTATATTTGTTTGTTGAGGTAAATATCCATCCTGATGCCTCCAGCATCAGGCCTGCAGCTGATTCTAACCCAACATCACAGGACCCACCTTTACCAAATAATGATTTCCCAAAGGGACGTTTCGAGCTCTGCCTGTTTACTAGTTCTTGATGAATTTTGCATGTACCGATTTTTTTATTGATGTTCTCTACGAGGGCTCAATTTTCAAAGGTCTTTCCCTTGCTCCCCCAAAAAGGTTTCCCTTCCTCCACAGCAACAAACACCACTTTTTGTCCTTCCTTCCTCTGTCCTCATCTTGCTCTATTCAGCCTCTTGTAGTCACTATTTGTACGGCCCAGATGGCAGCCCTTATCTCCTGCCTGTGAGGAGCAGGACTGGGAAGGGGGCAGACAGCAGTATATTTCAGCTTCAGATCCTGAATCCATACTAAAAGCATATGGAAAATATGAAAAAGGTAATATCCCATCTGTTTTTAATAGGGGACATGGGATTTAATGCCTGGCAACCTTATTATGTACTCTCTTGATATTGCATAATGTTATTTTTTGATGTTGTGCACTACACTATGCTTACCCAACTATAAGCATATTCCATCTATGCAGTTATCTTTATTAACCAATGAAATAAATTGAATTTGTCTAAGACTTATTTCTCTAATTAATACCGTATCCTCTTTCTCCCACTGACCCCTGTACCATCCTGATGTCTGCTGGCTGCCAGTGATACAAGCTGCTGTTCGTGTGCCTAACTTTTCTACTGGGAACAAAGAGGCTTAAGATAGTGAAGCTCCTACATTAAGGTTTGCTAAACTGGGAGCACAGGAATATTTGCTCTGGTGGTTTTTTGAGGTGGTTTCTTATTAAGCGCAGTGAGAAATTGTTGTGTGCAAGATCAAGTCTTAAGCTAGGGCCAGTCCCTGAAAATACAGAATATTGTTTATGAGCATAATTAGCATCAGTAACATCAATGCGGGGTGCTTGTGTTTTGATGGATGATTCCACAGAATAAGTGGGACAGTTTTTAAGTAAAAAATGTTGTAGGAAGTCTTGCAGCCTCTGATAGCAAATGTTATCCTTTCTCTACGCTACTCTGAGATGCCCAGCAGCTTGCAGACTTTGACAGATAAAAATGACCCCTCATTCTCTGTGTTGATTACCAATGATCAGCACAAGAGGAGCAACGATAGCTACACTGTGGGAAACGTACAAGCTATAGTTTTTCAGAGTAAGTCTGACAGAACCCTATTAAGTATCTATGGATTCCCTAATGCTTCCGTGAAATGTCGCAGCAGGCAAACAGAGATCACCTACAGGAAAGGGTTACTGCCTCTTCGGTGCGCCGTGCAGGACCACCTTGTGGCTGCCCTTTGTGAGACACAACTGATATCTTCCCTGCACCTCACACTGCTCTCTTGGGTGGCATAGGGAGAAATTTTTCCTGCCTTCTCCTCTGTGCATCAGGAGTTAGAGCTCTGTGAAGCCAGCCCTCCTCATCACAGCCCAGCTGTGGACAAGGGTGTGACCTCCACCAAGCAGCCGGGACCAGGGAGGCCTCCGGGAAGGAGGCTGTTTTATTGGAGGGGCAAGAACAGTGCCAGCTTAAAGCCGTAGATTCCTCACCTTAGTAGTTCAGCCCAGAGAGGGGAAAATGGGGAATGTATATTCAACAGAAGACTAAATCACCAAGTTGGTGGACCAGGTCAGAGCCCAACCACCTTTGCTGCTTGGGCTCCTCTGCAGTGTTATTTATTACTCCCCATCAGTCATAGCTTTTCTGGAATTACTCATGGCTGACGTTTGTGATGCAATAAGGCCACAGATAACTCGTGAAATGAAATCAGGGTTTTCCTGTCGGGACATGTAATATCCCCACTGTCTATCTGTCTCTCTTTAGGCAGTACATGCTAGCACAGGCAAGGATGATGGGGTTGGGTTTACAAGTTAGGCTAAAGTATTCCTGTGTATGTGTGGAAGGAACAGAGAAATATTTCCATCCTCAAGTTATGCAAAATCCAGTCAGGCTATCAGATTTTCACAGACCCTGCACTCCTGCAGGGCCAAGCTGCCTGCAAGACTCATAGCTCTTCTTGCTCAAAGACAACAGCAAAAGATCTTTGATCAGCAAAAAGTGGGTGTTCTTCCTTGCAGCCCCAGACAGTGAGGCTGAAGGTAAACTGGGAGATCTTGCTGTGGTCAGGCAGCAAGGCAATAAGTCTGTGTATGCCATTGCCAAGCCTTTACAAATGACTTGTCTGTTATGATTTGCAATGCCTTTTTACACTATTTTAATTTAACTCCATTGTTAGGGTCACCTCAGGCATGGCCCATTGGTTTACCAATGAAAGAAAGAGGTGATTGCTATGACAGCTATAGCTTTGCACAAATAGAGGTACAGAGAGATAGCTATCACATAGTTGTATCTTTGTGTGTGTATAAATACATAGGCAATGTGTTTACAGATAATAATCTCTGTTTTGCAAAGTTTGCCAAATATCAGTGTAAATATAAAGCAAAAGAGCAAAAAAACAAAACAGCAAATGCATAGTGTATGTCTTTGTGGATGTTTTATATAAAATTAGAAGTATAAAACTGGACGGTCATCCAGAAACCATTTAGTCCATCTCCCCACTCTAAAGCAGGTACCTAGCTCATCACTGATAGACCTTTAACCTGTTACAAACTGAAATTTGCAGACATTAATCATTCTTTATTAAGAGTTAGGTTTGGGGTAGCCTGTGAAAAATAGTGTGTGTGCAGGAAATAACAATGTTTGAGACTCACAGCAAGCAATAAAAGTGAAGCAAATTGCCAAAGAAGTGCTCATTCAGAAAGCAATACCCCTCCAGAGAACTAAAGGAGAAGTTAGTACTCATTCGCTGTGTCACAAGGCATACATAGAGGCAGGCAGAGTTAAAGGTCCAAACTAGATTAATTCTGACACCTCCTAACCTTGAAGTGCTTGGGCTTGATAACTTTCATGCACTTTTCAGGTAGGCTGTTGTAAGTAATTGCGAAGAGTTTTAAAAAAGGAAGATGAAAAGTTATTCTTTGGAGGGAACCAACTTCTCCTCCTCTTTGTAGTCAAAGGTAGGATGCCAAAATTCTGACCTCAGAGCTGCAGCTAATGCAGCACTTGAGGCTATATCTAAGTGGGTAGACCTGATTTCTCATATGTGGGTATGTGCACAGCTGTGTCGTGACACTGTAGCAAGGAAAGCCCTGGGTACCCACCTGGTCCTCTGCTGAGGAGAAAATCCCAGGACTTTGGCCAGAGAAAAGTTGTGTTATCTGGTCCTGGGAACCAGGGCACTGGCACAGCCAAAGGGAATATTTATAGATCATTGTTCAGGATGAGACTAGACACCAAAAGGCAACATGGCCTCATACAACTCTTCTTCATTTCTTCCTCTTGTTCTTCCTACTCATATTCTTTCCACCGCCTCACTCTTTTTTTTTTTTTTTTTCTCTCACTGTCGCATCCATCCATGTGAGCAGAGAATATCAGTTCTAGTGTTGGGCAATAGCCAGTAGGATCAACTGTGGGAAAAGTAGCATTTGGCTCCTGCATCTCTGGGTTTGAATGTGCCCAGTGTAGTTGAAACGAACTAGAAATTTATCTGCCACATACAC